ACCAGACTACACAGCGCAACAACCCAGAAGACGGAAATCTTCATACTCACCGCTGTGAGAACCTCAAGTCTTACAAAGAAGCTAGATGTTTTCATGCTTTTATTTATCACTGCTGTTGAACTGTTGCTAGTGGAAACAAATACAGTCAGCTGTATTTGGACAAATTTGACAATGACGGAGAAGTCCTCCTGTAAATGTTAACATCTGTGATCAGTATGGATATTGTAATTGGTGGATGCACTGTGTGTTTGCCTGTGTTTCAGACTTCCATCGCAGCAAATAGAGCTTGTGAGTAACATGTAGGCATGTGATCTTAATAATAACACACAGGTAGTGAGGAATACATGTCGTTATAATTTATTCAAATTAGATTCTTGTCATCCTTTGTAGGGTTCGATTGACAGTCAGTTGGATGCCATAAGTCTGCAAGGCAGGAAACTGAATCAAGAACGAAAAACAAGTCTTACTCGTTCTCAGACTGACTCCAACATAACATACACTGGTGAAGAAGTACCAGAAGCTCAGGGTTCGATGTGTTACATCACTAAAGATGGAGATATTGATTATCAGGTTGTCCTTAAGGTATGTTCACATAATCTTAGGTATTTGTTGAATCATTTGTCTCAATCTATTGATATCTTCAAGTTCAAATTTGGGATTGAATCTGTGACAAATTTTCTGTTTTGTCATTTCACAGTGGCGAGTATAAAGATTTCATTACTGTGTTTACAGGAGTCTACCATTAGTCCTTATTATGAGCGAGATGAATCCAGTCCATACCACGCAGGAGCCTACCATTAGTCCTTATTATGAGCCAGATGAATCCAGTCCATACCACCCCATCCTATTTATCTAAGGTCCATTTTAATAGTATCCTTCCTTCAGCGATTTGTTCTTCATAGTGGTCTCTTTCCTTCTGGTTTACCCACCAAAACCCTGTTTGCATTCATCTTCTCTCCAATGCTGGCTACATGCCCTGCCCATCTCATCCATTGAATGGAACAGTTTTGTTAAATATACAGAGTAGTGTAAGATGTGTGTGTTAATACAATCTGAGTTCCAAATATAACAAGAAAATTTGTGTGCAGAGATGAAATGCCACATTGATACAGATGGTATTCAGCATATATGGAAGGGTAAATATATTTCCACTGATGGAAGTAGAAGAAATTTTGTCTTTCTTATGTGGAGAATTGGATTTGATTTGTTATATTGAAGACTGTTTGTTAAGGAATGCAGACTGAAAATTTTAATGCATTCAAAGAATGACAAATAGTGTTATATTTCATTGTGTAAACTTCATGCAAAATAAATGGTTGGTTTCAGGCAGTTCATTCTGCAGCTGTCCGAGACAATGTGTGCTGTACGCTTAGGGTGTGTGAAGTAATCCTCAATCTTGTGGAGTTACTTATGGATATGGGTGTACTGAAACAGTGTCTCCGTGATGAGGCAGCTGCTTCTGGAGGAGAAAACCATAATGTCGGTGGTTCATTGTATGCTCACGGACACGGTCACCATGTTTCTCAGCAAGGCAGTGGCAAAAGACCCAAAGGGACAGAATATGTTTCTCCTTCCGCTGAAAAAGGCAGAAAACTTTCTTGCGGAAGTCACAAGGGGATTGCAAAGCTCCAGACTCCCCACAGTCTCATTATGAGCTGTGTTATCAGGTTTGCGTTCTTAATATTTTTCATGCTATAATATATTGATTTAATATGCAAATAACTGACAAGAGTTTCAACTAAAATTGACAGAAGTATTTTATTTACTAGGGACCTTATACTTTTAGTTTTCACAATTTAATATGTTTTCCTGTAATTCAGTATAAATTTCATATAAATATTTTGTTGGTTATTGTCCATTTTCTGAAGTTTATTTGGTACAACATTTCAGGACTTGTTGCTTGAAGTATTTCCTTTCTGTAAAAAGAGTGCACTGAATATTTTCACTTATGCACAATTTTTATGATTGTCTTTTATGTTAAAATACATACTCTTAATATGGCGCTGACTGAACATATTGTATTTTATTTTCTATATGCATCTTATAAGAATATAAAATTAACTTTCAAATAATACCAGTGTAAGGACTTTATGATATACATTATATTTAAAGTTCTCATGGCAGTGATTATGAAGATGGCTGTAAACTACCAGACTACACGGTGCAACAACCCAGAAGACAGCATCTTGTTAATGCACATTAGTATTTATGTTGTACAACTTTCATATTACTGGTATTATGACAGTGATCGCACAGAAGCTCTGTGTTGTCTTAGAAAGGAATGTGTGAGTTAGAATCATTGGAATACAGTTTATTTTATATTATAGTTTCAGAATTTTACATGAATTTAAAACATGTGAAAATTTGGTAATAATAATTGTGGTTCTTAGTAAATTAATCATGATGATGATGATGCTTTGCTTGTCCATAATCAGGGTTTTGAAACACTTGGGATGCCCACACGGATGTGCTGATGGCCAACGAGGTCCACCCGCAGACTTCCTACGTTCACAGGGACAAACTATACTGTCCAAATTGCACCGTGCCAGTCCCAGACAATTTTCACGGTTCCTTCGTGAGATGGTGTGTAATCAGTCCATATCTGATATACTTGACTTCTTCCATGCATATGTTGGGTTTTGTGTGGATCCCAGTTCTTTGCTCTCACCGCTAAGTAAGTTCAATCTGCTACTGTAGTTCTAAATGTCTTTGTTCATATGTGTGTACTAATGCTACAAATTATGAATTCCAAACATTCCACACCTAACATATTTTTGAGTAAATGAATAACATAAGAAGAATATCAACTGACATTTCATTTCAGGTCTTTTATAAGAGATTTTGATAAAATCTTCATTTTTCCTTCTTTGTGTGTATTATACTAAAGACTCAGAAACATTTTATGTTTAAAAGAGACAGAAACAACCCTTTTAAAATAAATATATGTCAGTCAAATGTGCTAAACACATCCAGAAGATACAAAAGTCATGAATTAATGAGTAAGAACACCTCGCCCAAAATTGAAAAACAAATGGCATGAAACATCACCAAATGGAATCATATTTGAGTTTTAAGTTCGTAAATGTTTTACACCTGATGATGGTTTTATAAAAAACTGAAACATGTTGTGTAAAGGATGTTCCAAAATGTAAATCGATCAATCGATATGGAACATCAATGATATTTTATTATCTTAATTATAAGAAATTTTAAATATTGTGATAAGACGGATTAAAATAAATAATTGTTAATAGAATCATGTTAATGTGTTCACAGACCAAAAGCGTAGTTGCAGCAAGTCACCAGATATCATATCTCAAGGGGGCTATGCAACCAATTTTGGAGCTGGCCTTGGTGGCGGGGGTAGTCGTGGCATTGAAGGTCAGATAATGGCCAGCGTTTTCAAGGCTTTGGTTACACGAATGGCTAAATCTGCTAAAGAACTTAAAACACAGGAAAACATGGTAAGAGTCATAATTTATTGTTATCTCTTCTTTCTTTGTGTTATTATTATTATTAAGTGTTCTGTCTTACGACAGGTCCATTGCTCTGCCCAAAAAGAGCTCTCCAGTTGTCCCTATTCTCGGCTTCTCGCTTTAATTCCTGGAACGTCATCTTCTTTCCTTGTTTAAGGTCGTCGGTTAGCTGTATCAATCTTCTTCCTAGTCCTCGCTTTCCTTCAACCTGGCCTTCGGTGATATCACTCATTAATCCATTCCTTCTCATAATATGTCCCAGCCAGTTAGCTTTCCTTCGTGTAATCTTTGCTCGTTGACTCTCCTCAATACTTCTTCGTTGGTCACTCGATCCGTCCACCTTCTTTGTGTACTGGACCATAATTTTGCTCTGAACCTTATGGAGATTAAGTATATAGAATGAATAGATGTAGATAAATGAGAGTTAGCAGACAAGGAATGAGGCAGAGACAGTACTGGACCAATAGGGAGTTTCCAAGCTGGTGTCCGAGGGGGAGAAAGTTGGTAGCGAGTAGAGCCTGCTGTGTACATTATTTAAATTAATAAAAGAGTTCAGTAATGTTTATAAATTTCATTTTCAAAGTGGATATTTGAAATTTGAGTTTATTTTGCAGGCTCTTTATTGTGATGTGCGACAACTTATGACATACATAAAGGAAGCTCATGGTGGAGTGTTTCGGCGTGTTGCACTCAGTGGTCTTCTGGAATCTGCCAGTCGCCCCCATAGAAAGGAACCAAACACACAAACTACAAGGGTCATTAAGTATGCATCATATGAAGACACGGAAATAAGAGATTTATGGATATATATGCGCACTTATTGGTGAAACACGTAATAATTACAATTATTGATTTGGTTAGGTGTGTACATGTTCTATCCAGATAGCCCCTTGGAGACCCATCTAATCAGAATAGACATAATAAGAGTGCTAATGAGGGTTAGATAATTTTGTGTTTTTGGTAAAAATTAATTTGAAAATGAGACAGTAACATTGTTATTGTTTTATTGTTAACACTAATCTTTGTCTTTATAAGCTTGACTCAGTTTTAATGTAGTTGAAAGCATGTGCTGCTATAAATAAGTTAGTGTTAGTGTTCACATTTGCTGCACCAAACGTAACTAAGTCTTTGTCATGATATATAGTGAATATTAAAAGCTGTGGTCTTGTTTCCAATTAAATTACAGCACATATAAAGGTAGATATTAATTATTAAATATGATTACTGTTTAAGGCATCTTCATCACAATGAACTAGATGACCCACCAGACATTGGAGGAAGTTCCTGCTTTGTTATGGATGAAAGAGGCAGCCGGAAGATGCTCTTTAAGAAACGAAGCACGTCGTCTACTTGTGCAGTGAGCATTCGTCTGCTTATTTTGTGATATTAGATGGAGTAAATTTCTTGTTTGTTTTTAGGCATTCTTTGTGCTTTTGTATGAGTGAAGAACACTTTATGGGTCCTTCCATGTCTGTCTGTCTATCTGTCATGTCCTTCAACTAGCCATTACTGAGGCCGCCATGTTTGGAACTAGACAATTCACGTGGCTTTCTAAGGGGTGAAGCAATCGTTGTGGCTTTTGCCCTAGGATTTGCCTCAGAAGGGCTCTTTCCTTAAGGCTTTTGCCCCTTCTTAGGCCTTTTCCCCTTTGGAGCCTGTGCTCCTTGTTGCCACCATTATCATCACCCTGATGATGATGGCAGCAAGGTCCTCTGAAACATTGCTAAACTTCTACCTGTCTACACCACACTACAAGCCAGAAGACCGCCATATTCCCATGAAATTTAAGTGAGTTTATTATTTGCTGTCATTGATAAAATTCTTACAGAATTATTGCATTAAATTTTATGTAGTTTTGTTGTTATTTTATGTTAAAGTTTTAAAAACTTGATTTAATGTTAAGTATTGGATGAGAATATAATGACAGTGAACACAAGTATTAAGTAAATCTGTCTGTTCTTTGATGACTGCTGTGAGGAACAGAGTATGATGGTGTACGTTTTATTTATAGAGCTTACTGGAAACTGAATTGGGAGAAGAAATTAGCAAAGCAAGCCAAAGTCCTCTAGGAAATTTGCGGAAGAAACATCACATACTTACACCACGTCAGAGTGAAAGAAACCTTGGCACTGTGGAACTACCCCATTCATCATCAAAGTCTCGCAAATCTTCACGCTTTCAGATTGGTGGCTTTGGTAAACCATTGATACTTTTTAAATCTCAGGAATTTGTATCTGTGTACAGTCAGTCTACTGAGACTTATAAAACTATGCAACTACAGTATACTACATTAAATTTTCGAAAATAACAGTACAGAAACTGACATTTTGAGCAAATTACTTCACTGTGAAGCCTATGTATTGTAGTGTTCACATTTACTATGAGAATAATTATAATAGTAATGGTTGCTTATTAAATTTATGCAGAAAAGATTTAATCATTTGTACAGACATCTGGCAGTGAGTCTGATAGTGTTTTACCAGCAGATATTATTAGAATTTGAGTGGGTACAATATGTGTGATTTTATTAATTATCACAATTATTAATTCATATTATAACTTTTGTTATGATTTTAGAAATAGGCTTATTCAATAATTTTATTGACAGGTACTCTTCCTTTTAATGTACATGTAGAATTATAATGAGGTTAAATTGATTTATGAAACAACCAGTCACCTGAAAGCAATGGGGGAAGATAATTGAAACTTGATCAATAAAAGTGATTCCAGAATTTGATGCATGAAAAACTTTTTTGCTGTCAAGATAATCTGCTCATTTAAACTGGTGCTGTAGATTTTTGCAGTTGTGTTTTGTGTGCGTTAGTTAACTGGTTCCGTCGAGAGTATGGTCGAACGGAATCGACCAATAGTCGAGATGACAATGCTTCTCCAGTTGAAGGTGCCTTTATTCGCCAAGCCTCACTACATTATTCTCACAGCAAAAATTTGCATAAAGCTGGTAGTAGGTAAGCAGAGAATTTATTTAAAATCTTGCACTTGAATGTGAATTTTAGAAAAATACCTGCAGTTTTATGAGGAAGTTATGAATTATCCGTATGTAGTGTAACGGATGTAGAAAACTTTATTCGAAATAACTCTGCCATTGTTAGAGATTTCAACTGGAATAAGTTTGTCCCTGGTGTATTTCTTAATGCATGCACTTTCACGTTATCCAACCCTTACTTTAGAAGTGAAACATTATACACACTTGACATCAAAGACAGGACAGCCAAACAGCTGATATATAGCGCAGATGTCTATTAGCGACATCACGACGACCTGCTATAGCTGTGGTCGACTCGTTAACAATGTTTTAGATGGTTTAATAAAATCATCCGCTTGTACACATTCATTAAAAGTTTGTGCAGTTTGAATTTTATCCTTTGTCCTGATTAAGGAATCAAATTTACGTATAAAATCTTAGCTGACTCTATATTAAGGACCTCGTTTTTGTTAACAGTCAAATGGGTCATACATTACAGAAAGCTAAGAGGCGAATGGAAGACCATTTTAACAAATTTGGCTTTGGAAAAATGAAGAAGAAGGATGGAAGTGTGGAAGAAACTCCAGGAAGCTGTAAGTATATTTCTAAAACAAAATTGTTTCCATCCCTAGTTGGAAAATCGTATGATCTCAACATCTAAAATGCATCAACATCTAATTTTAATAATACATGTTGGACGTGTTATCCATGAACTGATCTGTTAAGTGCTCTGTGCTTTGTAGGTTTAAGTCGTCACAACTCCTTAGAACTAGGCGATCATTCTCGTGAATCAGAGTTTGTGGTACTGAAGGAACGGAAACTGGTGCCTATCTTGCCAATACGAATTGGTATGTTGAGGTTCTCGTTCTTGCTGGAAACTTGTCAGCCTGGGTCCATGCCAGATCCTCATCTGCTGGCTGCGGCACTCGACCTGGTAAGCATAGTAAGGAGATGTGTAGCCTGTTATACATGTTCAGGAGAGCTCTGAGGTGGCATCAAGCATGCTCAGTGGTGTAAATGGAGTGCTGTGGCAATTGTCATATATTAACGTTACTTACGGTGTTATAACCTAGTGTTATGCAGTGTGATTGTGAAATTCTGTTTAAATCTAAATTATATTTTATAATCTTAAGTATTCTAGTGCATTTCAAATGCTGAATCAATCACTGTCAGTATTCTGCCATATATGTAGTCTTTTGCCTGTAACGTTTAAGAAATCATCACCGATCACACATGTGACCAGTTGTAATTTAATTTCATGAATGCACACAGTTCTGCTTTTAGTCTTCCTGAGTCCCATGTTTTGCACTGTAGCTCCCACTTAGTCTCGCCCAAGATATAACCCAGTCCTCTGCAGTGAGAAGCCAGCAAGTAACTTCCTGAAGAATGCTGCAACCCTCCACAAATAGTACTGTATCAAATTACCCTATGATGAATATGTTGGATCTTCGTACATCTTCATGTTTTTATCATGAATCGATGTATGCTGTTAAGAATATTTGACTTGCGCTGTCAGAATATGGTATCAGCACTCAAAGTAGAATGATTCTTCATGTACATCTATATAAAGACATGATCCATGTGTGTTTTATTCCTGTCCTTCACAATATGTTCTTCCACATGGAAAGAGATGGCTATAATAAAGCATGCGAAATTTTTATTTTTGATTTGTTAAATTTAAGTAAGGTCCATTACATTATGGTGTGTAACATTGAACATTACACTTGAATTTTATATTAGCTGTAAATAATTTTTATCTTTTCCACATACTCTTTATATGCACTTGTCTTTGTTGGCTTGCAGGATTTAGCTGCATCATTTTGACAACTATGGAGGCTGTAACTGTAATTTTAATTTTAATTTGTTCCTGACTTCTAGCCACATGCACCAGTTGTGTCAAGAGCTGCCCTGTTTCTGGAATGTTCTTACTTTGTGCATTGCTGCAACAAGGGTCAGTGGCCGAATTGGATGAAACTCAACTTCCCTATCTTCAGGCCTTCAGGGCCGCTGTCAAACAGAGGGGCTCCCTCAGGATTGCGACGTATTCACATCTTGCAGCGTACAGCTGGGAAGATGTTCCATCAGTGGGCAGAGGTATTAAATTGGGATGTCTTCTGCATGACCATGACATCAGAAATAACACCTCTATCCTCTATCATACTGAAACAGGGGATTTAGATCTGTATTACATGGCCGCCAGCCAGACCTTGTCTTCAGGATTAACATTTTCGTAGTATAGTAGTGCAACGCATAGACAGATCATGCATTAACTGCATCGAGGGCTCTGGAAGCAATCCAGAGAGCACTGCCTGAACCACCCAGACCACTAACCTGGCCCTTTTCAGAGCCCTGATCACATTCCATCCAACTTCCGAGGCCCTCACAAGGGCTGCACTTCGACCCCCTCTCTTTCCTTTCTCTCCCTCTCTCTCACACATGCCCACGTGCTCCTATTGGTCCCCACCCACCCAATTGGCACATTCATCGCCCTGATGACGGATGCAGTATGACCTCTGAAATGTTGGTAAACATCGACCAGACTCCACAGTGCAACAACCGAAAAGACAGAAATTCTCATACTCACCGCTGTGAAAACCTCAAATCTTACATTAGGTAAATATGTTTTGTTTATTCAGGCGGTTGGGGCAAGACTGGAAGAGATGGTGCAAGAAGACAAACAGCATGTCGCGGATTTTGTTTCTATGGTAACAGAGGAGTGTCAGCAGAAGGAACTTCTTATGGTGGATGAGGAGGAAGACTTCTTGGATGAAGGTTGGAGAATTATCAGTTTTCTTACAGAATGTACAGAATCAGTACTTACTAAACATTTGTGATAGTTTGGAAGAATGTGTTGATCAGATTCAGATCTTTAAAATATGACATTGACATTTAAAAAAATTCAGATGTCTCATCTTTGTGCAGAACTGATAAATTTGGAAACTGTAGCAAAAAAAAATCCAGTTTGATGTGACCATATAATGACCTTTGACGTCTGTGAAGAAATTGTGAGCATGTTTTAGTTTTCAGTTAATTTACAGAAGCTGATATATAAAAATTTTGTGTGTTGAAATAAATTAGCCACATTTGTGTTCAGAGACATCTGTTATAAATATAGAATATATATAAACATATTAGCAAGTATGTAATTAATCTTTGTAATAACCTTATTATAATAATGTCACATAATCAGGATCTAATTTAATTTCATGTAGGTATTATAAATTAATTACTACATATTCTAAAGTTTTATATGCTATAAATTTTCAGTAACAATGTGTTTCATTGAATGATTTTGATGGTTGAAACATCGGAAATATTAAGCAATGACTGTCGTTGCAGCCAGTGTTAACCTCTACGGATTAGAGTGCCCCATTGCACTTAGGCTGTTGGCCTGCATACTGCTATTGGAGATAACAGCATTTCTGCGGGAGACATATCAGACCCTACCAAAATCATGCAGATTATCTGCCAAAGAACGTCCATCTCCATGGGAACGAATGTGCAGTCGCGAAGTTAATCGGCGATGGAGCATGGCTCTTTCCTCCATGGGTCACTCTCAGACTTCTGCACAGAGTCTGCAGTCTATCGTAGGAGACAAGGATGCAGGTACATTCCGTATAAACTAGGAATTTATAGCTGTTATTATATTAATAAAATTATTCTTGAGAGAATTATAAATTATACTATAACTCTTTTAATTATGCTTGTGTAGGCATATGAAATAAACATAAAATATGAATAAATATGCATGATTTTTATTGCATGAGACAGTGGTAAACATGGCCCATATTTCCGTCTGGATATTATCACTGTTGTTTGTTTACGTCCATGAAGTTCTGTGTGCAGTAATTTTACTAGCAAAACGACAGCTTTTATTACCTTGGGGCCATTCTTCCATGACTATTAACACACATATTTTTGTCTAAAATAGAAAACCTTCAGTGTCTTCTTCTAATGGTTTATCTTTATTTGGTTTAAAATTTTATATATTGCTGTCAACTCTTGTTTACATTTATCTTCCAAAATATCAATGTGATATTGCATATAGTAAAAAGATTTATTATCCCCAGATTAATGCTGTGGAGTTGATACTACAGTGTTTAATGTGAGATGCTGTTCTGAAGCCATTTGTTATCTGATTTCTTTGTGTTTCAGCCCTTCAGTCTGAGCGAAAGATTAGTTTTGTCCTTCATGAACCTGACAATGGATCAGAGGGAAGCAGCAACACTACTGTAACAATGCAGGTTAGATGAGTAGACATCTTCATCTCCAAATAAAATTAAAGAACTATGTTGCGAGTCTCTTCATTTGTTATACCAGTTGAAAATTAACTGATTCTCAACTTCTTTTTTGAGGAATGTGGTTTTATATATATATCAGTGAAAATCACAAAGGAATTCTTAGTAAATATTTTAAAAATATTTTGGAGTACTTTTGTCATTTGTTTTCATTAAACATTTGTGCTAGAGGATGGAGAGTACAAAATTAAAACTGAAAATTTTTTAGTAGGATTTGAGGTTCCCACAGCGGTGAATACGAAGATGGCTGTCATCTGAATTGTGGCTTAATGTAGTCTGGTAGAAGTTTACCAACATTTCAAAGGTCCTTGCAGCCTCATTGACTGATGATGGCTGCAGCAAGGAGCTTAGGAACGTTGGTAAATTTGTACCAGACTACATTAAGCCACAATTCAGATGACAGCCATCTTTGAAATTCTGTAGCTGTTTTGAATTGCATGTTATACAAACAGGAAACTAAAGGGCAGAAAGTACAGTTAGAGAAAATAGTAAGATAAGTCATTGGGTGTGAGATTTGAGGTTCTCATGGCACTGAAGATGTAAGTGGTCGTCTTCTTGGTGGTTACTAATGTTCCCGTAAAACATTGGTAATGATACAGTGTCACAACCAGTAAGACAAGGCTGGGGTTGTCTTTCAGTTTCCATCATACCCTCCATTTGTGTGTCAAATATAAGATGAATTAATTTTAAAAGTTTGAGTCATTAATCAATAAATCTGTGATCTCATTCAGACTTATGAGTCCATTTCATTTTTAGGGAGAGGAGAATCAGACTCTAGAGGATAAGAAGGGCCGTCGGTCACACCCATCTGGGCGCCCCTTTCTTCTTCGGAGAGGAACAGCAGGAGCCACAAGTGGGTCCTTTAAGAGACGAAGCCTTAAACTCAGACGTGGCAAGGAGGCCAAAGAGATTCTTGACTGTGATTGTAAGCTATCTGTTAAGTATATGCCTACATATAAAAATACACCATAAAACTTCATTACATTTAACTGCGGGAATCCAAATTTATTGGCTTTGTTGTATTGGGACTATTTGTATAAGGTTAAAGCCCATGTGTTTCATTCTATTTGGCTGGGACCCAGGGGTTTGTTGTGTAGAGATTGTATTGTATGTTATACCTAATAAGAATTAATGTAGCACCTAAAGTAAAGTATTAGGAAAAAGTTTTTATTAATGTTTTTCATCCTTTAGCATTTGTGAAGAACGTCTTGTTAGTCCAAAAATATCTGTTGTCTGTCTGCCTGCCTGCTTGTAAGAATGATCTAAATATGCTGTTCCTTTGAGCCATGTTTATTAACAAAGCAAACTGTCATGAAGTTGTGTGAAGGACCCCTTCATAATTTTAGTTTCTTCCAAAGAATACACTTGTCAAATCTTGTTTGGTGTTCTTTACACTTTAGCTTTTAGGCACAGTAAATAAATTTATTGTATGTGGTTGGAAATACTGTTATTTAATACACATAAGTACGTACATGTGAGTTAGTTTCCCGATTTTGTTTAAAGAATTTTGATTACTTAAAGTGTCGTAGTATATTTACTACCAGCGAATGCGTATTTCAGTTTCAGTTAAACGCACGGATTCAGTGCAATCAAAACGGAAGGTAAGTTCACTGTCTGATCGAAGTGACACATCAGAACAGGGTGTAGGAGACGTCAGTGGGGAGGAGTCTCCGGGAATACTGAGTGACGACCAGCCGCTTGAGAGTCCAAGTGACAGCAATGACACGGACGACACTGCCAAGAGTATGCCATGGATGAAGGTAAGTGTGCAATTCTTTACAAGTACTTGGTGGAATAGATGATTGCAGTTCGTAATAGATTATATTGTTGCAAGCAAGGAATTGTGGTGTACCATGGAAATAGCCCTTTGTTTAGACCAATTTCATGCGAGTTATGATACTATAATTTTGCTTATTGATCTGCACAATATTCTGCTGTGATTTATTTACCATTATTGGCCCTCTGAAGGTTATTTTTACCAATAAATTGTTTATATGATATGTGATGATTTTCTTTTGCAGCTGTAGAATTCTAACCGTTGATATTTGTATCTTTCTGCAGGTGGTTGTGCAAGTAGCAAACTCCTTTAACTTCTACTGTTCACACCAGTCTTTCTGCCATCCTTTCTGTTATCGACGTCATATGCGGGCTTGCTCGAGGCTTGTTAAGTCTGTGAGAAGGGTAAGATTTCATTTTGCTGTCTGCTCTCCAAATTCCCTGCAGAACACCCCTGTACTAACTTAATTATATTAAAATGCCACAAGTATTAAAGCACTATTATCAGATTAAATTTTCTGGATGATTTGCCAAGATTATGAGCTACATATTTCAAATTTTTATTGTGCGTACATTTAATATCTTTTGTTTTTAGTGCAAGATAATTCCTATTATTTATTTTCCAGATATATGGAGAGGAGTTTGGAATAATGGGTGGAAATGCTAGGGAGTCGGATGGTGAAAAGCATCAGCGAGAAGATACCAAGAAGGACAAGTCTCGTGGAAGGAAAGTATCAGAGCAGACAAGTACTCAGGCATCACCCATTAGACGAAAAGACAGCGTCGGTAGAAAAGATAGGTAACGATATGCTTGACAGAATTCTGCCTGACTGTCGCTGTAGAAATATACATAGGTAGTATAAGGTTTTACAGTATTCTGAATGGATGAACTTTCTCAGGGCTAAGACATTCATTTGCTTTTCTCACATTGTACAATGTGTGAACACAATTGGCATCAACTGATTTATCATTCATTTGTCAAGTCATTTGTTAATGTTAAGTGCATGAAAGTCTGTGCACCAGCATGTGGATTCCACGATTATATCTGTAATTGAACTGGTGGTCATGCCATCTCGCAAACCTATGATTGTACAATCTGTCGAGAATGCTGTTTGCAATATCACATCATTGTGTGTACTGAAAGACTTCAGGTAGGTTTAGCAACGTGACTGAGATGGGTGAACACGTGCGCTTGCTAGTTGCTTCTTCCCAGGTGTCGAACCTGAGAGTCCGTAGCTGTTTGTAGATTAGACCAGTTACATCTCTGCATTTTGAATTTGCATGCAATGTATTCAGTATTAAATAAGTTTCATCTCTTGTTAAATTACGCATAAATTTGATTGAAATTGTATTTGTTTAATGATTTATTTTATTTTGAAGAATATCACTATATTTCAGAACTGAGCGCAATGCAGATGGATCACATTCTGGTCGCCCGGCTGGAAGTCATAGAGATTCGTCTAGAGACATTGCTGACCAAAGTATTGAAAAATGTTATGGTAGCCAACAGAAGTCATCTGTGGTATCTGCAGCAAATTTACCTTCAGGGAAAACTCTGAAGAAAGATGAAACTGAGAAACTTAAGGAGCAGCCACCTATTTTGAAATATATAAAAACGCAGGTTAGACCAACTTGTGTAGTTGTTAATAGCAGTTAGATTATTAATGTAAAGCAGCGCACCCTCATATAAGAGACGTAGTTTAATAATGACATTTATATATGTGAAGTACATAAAATGATGCCTCCATATTAAATATCTTTGTTATACAGAAATGAAGTTGTCTTTAGCTGTGATTATTAATGCATCGCGAACCATGTGTGATTATTAGCTGAAGGTTTCTGTGCAGGTATATAGAGTATTTGATTCAGAAATTTACTACAAATTGTGAATGTTTACTGAAACCTCATTTGCTTCAATATTATGGAATTTTAAGCATCATAGAAATTAAATTTTAGTCAGTCAGCGCAAACTGCTGCATAACATAAAACACTGTGTTAGACTGATTTATGCATGAGAAAACACTAAAATGCCGTTGAACTCAATTTTGTCGAAAAACCAAGACATAAAATTCTTTAGTTAAAACTGATGAGTTTATTTTATTCTTACATGTTTGAAATATGTTTAATTTTTACGATGTGAGCCTAAACTTTATCACCTCAGACCCAGTTAATTGTATTTTGTAATAAATACAAGTTATTATGTAAACAGCCATAAATAATATTAGAAATTATGGCTTAAAATACTGAAGTATTAACATTTATCCATCAAAGAATGAAATGCTAGTAGCATAACTACCTTCATATTACTTGCAGTTAATCCTGATGTGGGTAAGACAACATGATATGATGAATTGAACAGTGGAATATTGTGGAGATATTTTGGTTATATCTACAGGTTCGTGATGTATTCCACGCACCGCTGGCAGTTCTAGTGAAGGGGGCTGTAATTCTTTCTGAGGAGTATTTCGTGGACATATTGCCCATTGCATGGGAGCTCTTGCTGGAGGCAAACCAGGAAGTAGCTGCTACTGCTGCATCCCTGTTCATCTTAGCAGCTGTGAGGGCTCCGAATCAAGCAACGGACACAATCCATCATGGTCTGCACCATCAAGATCCAGCAGCAAGAATAAATGCCATATTAAGGTAATGAGTATTACATTTTTAAACATTTTCATATGCTTTATTAGATTACGGTTATGTTATGACTCTTGCTGATTTTTCTTCTATAACATGTTCATATGCACTACTCCCTCACTCAGGTCACTTAATTCCAGCCCTTCCTTATTCTGTTTTACTTAGTTATACTGTTCACATAATCCCAGGTTGTTATTACCTGAAAAATTTCCTTTGGCATTTATAGTTCATTGTCTTATACATTAGATAATGATATATGGTGGTTGTGGTCAATATGAAGGTGATTGTTATGATTTTGTTATTTTGCTTCCAGACTCCTCTTGCTATTTCTAAAATAATATGAACATATTTTGGTTAGATTTACTTTTAAAATTGACATCTGTTTTTATTTGTGGTTCTTTCGTAATAGGTTTCAAGTGCTGTGGAAGCTTCGATACCAGGTATGGCCTCGGATGGAGGAGGGTGCTCATCTGACGTTCAAAGTGCCACCACCTGGTATAGAATTTACCCTTCCATCACCTAAAATAGGCATCGAGTCTTTACCGGTTGTTGATCCACCCTGGATGCCACAGGTGAAGACAAAAGTGGAAGAGGTTACCATCAGCCAGGAGAGTCATGTAAGCTGTGTGTACATGTTGTGGCAGTCACAGATTTAATGTTTCTTAAAGTGTCTGCTTTTATGAAATTTGGAGTAGTGCATGAACTTGATAATTCACACATATTTGGGGCATCAAAAGAAATAAGAAACTTTGGATAATTCTACAACATGTTATATGAAGCTGATTAATTAAACGTCTTTCGTGTTTTGCCCAAAGTGTGTTACATGCAACTGTTGCTGCCATTGGACACCTCCGTGCCCCCCTATAAAGTTAAAGTCTGGCCGACTGCCCCATAGCGTCATGCTATTTCCTTTTCAAGATTCAGTAAAATTGTGACACAAGAAGACTGCCCATTGCATACTTGAAATATGTATGGAATATGTTGCTTGAAATTTGAATGAAACCTCAGCAAAATTAAAATCTGAAGAAAATTATTGGTCTGAATTGAGATTTACTGTAATCAAATTTGTGACATTTCATGATGATTTGGATTTCAGCGATCACTAGTTACAGCCACTAAGACTCGTAAGAAGCAGCAGACAGAACTGATCAAGATGGCACTGCAGGCACAAGAGGACAAAAGACGTACAGAGCGCGAGAACTTTCTCATCACAACCATTCCCATTACAGTGCAAGCTGCGTATGAGCCCAGTCTCTATCACGCAGTTGGTGATGACCACGACGAAGGTACCACCTACCTTGCTCAGTTAAGAAATCGTGATGAAGTAGATATTGAATGTTACGGTGTAGTGGTTGGTGCTCCTGCTTAGTATTTATGAGGGCCCTGATTTCAAATGTGAACTATGGTTTGATCTGTTATGATTAAGAATTTTTAGGTTTTTACTATGCACCCTCATAGCAGATTGGGTAAATTGTTGTGATAACTGTGTCTGCATTTTGAATTATTTAATCCATATCCGCCTTCAAGTTTTCCCTGGTTATTTATCTTGTGGAGGCTGAGACTGATTGATATTTTGAAATATCGGTCAGTTTCTACAACACTACTTGGCACAATATTCCAGAAGGGTATTATCTTCATTCTTTAGTTTAGTTAGATAATTTGTTTTTATGTTTGCAAAATATGATCATATACTGCACGAAGACTATTGCTGACGTAAGTATTATGACTTAAGATGAGCGAAGTCAGTGATTGGGATAATATGCGTCTGGGAATTCATGATTTTTACAGGTTACTTATCATTGTTAAGGTAGCAAAATGTAGGAGTTACAAAGGACTCGACATCTGCCTTGCGTGGAGTACGAACATATATAATTCTGTGGAAAGTCTTTCGAAGCAACTGCTTTGAAAATAAGAATGAGATGAGAGGATAATATTGTGATGAATCTTGTTGAAACAGGTTACAAGGACAGATGGTCAGATGGTTGGTAAACTCTGTCATATTTTCTGTTTAAACTAACAAACTTCTAACCCATGTGCATATTATTTAACATTCACCTTATTTCTGTGTACAACAATTGCAATTTGTTATGTCGACATTCACTTTCTGTCATTACGTATGTAAGGCGATGAAGAGCAAACAGAAACCCAACCACGCAATGCAGCGCACCATGTTCACTCTGCACATTCGCTGTTCCCGTCCAGCCTCTGCTCTGCAGTGATTCAGATCATCAACCTCCTTGATGATGCAGCTGTTTCGCCAGATGGTAATGCTGTTTATGAAGTGGCTTATCAGGTAGGATTTATATGTGGGTTCATTTTAAAATTTACAAATCCGTCAGTTGTAACACCTGTGACACCTAAACAAATGTAAGGGAGGATATTGTTTGTGAACTTGTATGTATGGCTTTTGGATCGGCGGAGATTAGAACATAAAAACGTTAGAAGAGTGCAGAAAATTCCTCACCCTAATGCTTTGGTACTTTATAGGTAATGTGTCCAAGAATGTAAAAAAAGAGGTATTGTTCAGTTAGTCGTAGGCGAATTTATGATAATATGATGTTGTAGGCAGCTCTGCTATATTTGGTTCCTTTATTTATGTGTTAGTTTTCTGATATGTTGCAGTTATAAAATTAAAATGTGTGGTGACATGTGTTTCTTTTTTTACAGAAGGTAAATGGTTAGTAAGACATTGTTCACAACTTTAGCTGTGTGGAAATAGGAAGGGAGAAAAGTGTGAACATAAAGAAGGAAAATTCTTGAAATTTTTTTTATTTTAGATGGGGTTTATCATATCCTGAATTTTCAAGGAAAAGGGAATTGGTCGTAGCTTTGTACTTGTGATTCAGCACTGTGTTCATTGCTAGTGTTATGAGAGTGACATTAATTATCTGCTGATGTTCTGAAGTACTTTAACATGGAGCATTTGTAAGCATTATTAAAGTTGTTTTTTCTTCATAAATACAGGTAATCTGGAGTTGTTTGGTGGAGGACAGTGCGCTGTTCTTACGTTACGTCCTGGAGAGACTCACACGAGACAAACAGGAGATGATGTTCAAAATCCTTCGCCATTTGATCCGGTTCATTCCCAAACTTCCGCAACAAGCAGCGTTTGCTCTTTATAATTATATTATTGGCTATGTGATGTTCTATGTAAGGTCACCTCAGGAGGATAGCCAGAAACTTATAGGGACTGCCCTTTCTGTTCTCTGGATGGTAAGTGAAAGAAAGTCTGTGTTTTTAATGTTTTATAAACAGTTATGGGTTTGTCCTATTTTACGCATATGTTGACATTGATTTCAAATCTAAGAGCTGGAAGGTAGTTATCTTAATTTATATACAGTTAAATTTTTATGAAGACTGGAAACGTCACCTTTAGCATGAAGCATAACCAGGTTTATTGTATGTGTCAAAGTACTGTATTTTCCTGTGTATATGCTGCACATGTGTATAACCCACATCTAGGTTTTTAGAATTTGGAATAAATAATATCTCAATACTAGATAATGAATTAACTTTTTTTTTAAAGTGCTTATTTTCATGTTTATGTGACTAATTTTATGGAGAGTGTTACCAATGAAGTAACAACAGCAGTGCGTCAATTTTTGGCACGCTCCATTTCTTTAAAATACTAACGTTCTCTACTTGAGGTTTCACAACGTACAATACCAGCATCACAGGCTAGTTGTCGATAGGATCATGGCTTCCGCTTTGGAGGATCTAGGTTTTTCTTTAGAAAGAATTAAAAACAATTAATATTCCAAGTATAAGCTTCACCCTAATTTTGCATGGTGAATTTTTGTCAAAAAAGTGTGGCCTATGCATACACAAATACAGTATTTTACTCCTTGCCATTGTAAAGAATATGCAAGAAATTCTGTTTTCCTTCACGTGCAGTCTTCTAGTACATTTCTGTATTCTGTGCCTTTATATGGTTATTTCTAGTAATAAAGTTTGGTTTTATATTATATTTAGGTAGTGCACAGTGTGCATGGGATAATGTTTAAGGACCTGAAACAAATTCTAAGGAAGGAACAGTGTGATGCATCAATTCTGCTTACAGCAAATGTGCCATCAGCTAAGAAAATCATTGTTCATGGACCACAAGGTAAAAAAAATGTTTACTGCAAGATGCAATGTTATTCCTTTTCATAAATCAAGCAAAACTTCTTTCAGGATGGAAATATACAATCTTTTAAAATACTGCCACAGTAATGGCTAGACATTTCAAATGCTGTACGTTCTCTTCGTGGAACAAAACATGTTCCACCTTCCACACTTTTTCAGTCTTTCCGTAACCTTTTATCTTCAACTTTATTTATTTCTTCAATGTCTTATTGGTATTTGTATAATAATTGAATATTTCCTGCATTATCCTTTCATGTGATCCTTGATTTCAGCAGTAGTTGTTCTATAAATCAATAATTACTCTAGCCTAAACTACAATTACCGGCAAGGATAATGAGACATTTGTCCGTGTTCCCTCATTGCTACAGAGCAAGATGCTGGAGGCATTCCATCACAGTTTCCAGTACAAGAAGACACCCAGTTCTGTCAGATTCTAAGGGAATCACTAGATTTCTTTGGTATTGAGGAACCCAGACACAAAGAATTCTTCCTCGTAGACCACAAAACTCGTAAGTAACGTGATGGGTGTTAGGTAACTTCTGAAATTGTGTTATGCTCATATTTATTAATTCTATGCAGACATGCAAAAGAATGGAAGTTAATGGTCAAACCCATTTTCTGTGTAATTTCTCACGCAATTTAGATGGTTGCCCTGTTATAAACAATGCTTTTGTTACTACTTTTGTGCTGTTTGTCATTCTAGTAATGCTTCATATTCCACTGTCAGCACCCTTTAGGTGGGCAGAAAGCCTGATCTTTGTGACTTTATCTGTTACCTGTCACTTGTCTGTACTGAGTCGAAGAATTTACATTCATCTCAGAACTCTGTCTGGTGACTTTTTTAAGACTGACAAATGCTTTCGCTGTTACTAGCACAATGCATTTGAATTCAAATGAAGAGTGAGAGTACAGTACGTTCGTATTTGTGTAACCCATCAGCATTTTTTTTTACACTGCTATAAAGGGTGCATGCATATTCTGAGTTAGAGGAATTTGGTACCAAACCACATATGTTAGCTGTAAGCACTGAACTGTCTTGATACAGATCAGATTCACAATCCGTCGGCATATGTGAGAGATTACTACTTCTTCAAACGCTCGCAGTATCCGCAGCTGGAACTTGTTCACATGAAACCTGAGGAGGCGTTCAACGCTCTTCAGCGACAGGAGTTGATACATAAATTTGTTGAGATTGGGAAAGTATTGCTTACATGGGCCATCCTCAAGAATGTAGACATGGTAAGTAAATTTGAAATTTGTCATCATCTCATGATGCACTTCTGTTCAATTTGTAAATTTTATACATTTAAATTGTTGCATCCATATCTTCTTTTGTTACATGTTCTTCTGCACATAATGAGCTTTGTAGATGGTTGTCTTCTGGGTTGTTGCGCCGTGTAGTCTGGTAGAAGTTTACTGACACTTCAGGAGACAGCTATCTTCACACTTACTGCCATGAAAACCCCAAATCCTATAATGAGCTGATGCCACAGTGCATTTATGATCTGAAAATTATATTTCTCATATTCCTTACTGTTATGACTAGAAAAGAAAGTGATCTTTTCCTCTTGTAATGATAAAGGTGGTGCAACGTGTGGTGTTCTTACATGAAGAATTAATGAAGTTGCCTTCATTTCCACGCAAGGCTCTGGAAGCTGATCTTGATTTGTATAAAGGAGGTGAAATGGGCAAGGTAATTTTATTAGGTTTATCAGTGTTGTTATTTATTCCACAGATTAGACACAAGAGTCCAGTTAAAGGTGCCACTTGGGAAAACTGTGCATAGATAGACAGATAATAATTATTTAACTCATGCACTGATGGCTTAGAACTTCAAATATTTAATGCCATTTATTTCAGGAGAATTTTAAAATAATGTTACAATAATATTGTTTCCATTGCTACTGCAGTGAATATGTATTGTTCAACCATCTTTGATACTGTAAGAGGTTATGAATAGCTCTTGAGCAGCGTAGTTTTGATAATATGGCTGGAAACGTGCAGCCAATTGTTTTAGATTATAGAAGCTTCCAAGGTGCTGTGTACAAAGTTCATGATTATTATGGTGCACTGAGAATTGTGTGATAACTAGAAAATGTCAAGTTTTCAGATGTTGCGTGACATTAAATATTCTTTTTAAAATGTAGTTATTTTCTTTACATACTGTTTTGTTTGAATGTTACTCATGCATTGTTTTGTTTTGTTGATCAGGAACTTCTAGGCCTCGATGTGCTACATAAGTTTATGTGGGTCCGACTCATTGCCAGAATGTTTGAGGCAATGGCGGGAAACTTTGCCTATTCTGGCGATATCCACTTGTTCCTCAATGTTCTTAACGGTGCTGTGATACTTCACAGCGAAGATGCATGCATTCTCCGTTACGTGACAGCAACATACATCAATGCCGCGCACAATTTCAAAAACATATTTTCTACCAATGGGTAAGTTGATTTTTATGTCGTCCAAAAACAAAAATAAAAGCGCTGAATAATATAATGTCGTACTACGATAAAGGAGCGCCATAAATATAACATAATATACTTTATACTGTAAATGTTATAATATTTTAACGACATTATTTTAAAATAAGTTTGTGTATAGACTGTAAAATAAAAATATATGTATATGATTCAACACAAACATGACGCACTTAAGATACAAATTAAATAGAATGAAGTAACATTTGCTAGAATTACTTACATCATCCATTTGTTTTTCCTGTAGGATGGATCATCATGTGATGTTTCATTGCTATTAGATGCAAGTGATTGTCAAATTTAGTTACACATTTATTACGTATGTACTGCTTGTGTAAGTCGTTGTGCATTAAGCTTTATACGACTTGTTAAGATCTCAGGTTCTCATGGCAGTGAATGCGAAGATGGGCGTCGTCTTGTATGTTGTGCCTCCGATGAAGGAGGCAGCAAGCACCTCTGAAACATTGGTAAACTTTTACAAGACCACATGGTGACTTGTGAAATCATGTAAACAAAAGAATCTTTTGCATAACTTTTTGTTCCCTTAAGAAATTTACAGAATTGTCTATAGTAGAATTTTACAAAATACTAAATTCCATGTTTCAGGTATTTGCTCATAATGCCCACACTTCTTCAATTGTACTCAAATCATCAGACTAATAAACTGGTGAGGACAACTGTTGAATACACCGTCAAACAGTTCTATCTAATGAATCGGAAACCATTTATTCTTCAGATGTTTGGTAGCGTGTCAGCCATTTTAGATACTGATGATGAAAGCTTGTATGGTGATGCACATAAGGTAATTATTGACTTCATATTATAGTGAATTAATTATTGCATTTTTACATAGACGGAAATGAATATCTCATGACACGCTGTTTTCTATCTGTGGTATACGAAATGATGAAACAGTGTTCTTGCCCGCAGGTTTTTGTGGCTGGAGATCAATGTGTAATTTCAGCTTTTCGGTGAGAGCAGTGTTAAATATTTCGTGTTATCCACGTCTCTGCTCCACCAGTCAGCACCATCAAATTTATCTAGCCACACTCACTGCCTGACCTATATAAGGCCTTCTGAACTGACCCCACCTTTTACCCATTTTGAAGATGGCAACTGCAATGTTTGCCGAAACGATGGTTAACACCAGACGTTCGACATGGCCCTCACTTGAAAGTCGAAGTTACATAATGTTACAGTATGTTATAGAATTACACTTGCTGAAGTTTAATTCCTTTTTCCAGATTTTTTAAATTTCTGAAATAGTTAAATTTCTTTCTTTGGTTTGATTCTTGTGGCTATAAAATATGCATCTGTAATGAGCATTGTAAACTGTAAACAAAACAAAAAAAGATGCACTTTATAAATGATTATATTTCAGGTCCAGTCAAACTGTTTGTTCAATCTCTTGTTGAGTTTGGAAACCCCATCACCAGATCCACTAAACATAGGTGAATTAGTAAGAGAAGAAAAACCATTGAAGGCAATAGACTTCTGTTACCATGATGAGAGTGAAATGGTAACTGTCCTGGACTGCATTTCACTGTGTGTCATGGTCGTGGCGTATGCAGCCGACTCAGTCCGGGGCCATCAGATGCTGGTCAGTGTTATCATTATTGAAGGTGGCTGTCAGCTGTCTTCTGGGTTGGTGCACTGTGTAGTTATTTCATAGGTGTTTGCTGCCTCAATTATCAGGGTGATAAGTGACTCATTCCCCTGTTGATGGAAGCAGCAAACACCTCTGAAACATTGGTAAACTTCTACCAGATTCCACTGCGCTACAACCCCCTTTTGTCATTTGTGTCTGAAGAAATGTTGTTAACAAGATATTAAACTGAAATCCTGAGGAACAAATGTATTTTTGAATTTCTCACCAGACAATCCTAGAAGCAATTTTGCCGTGCTACGTGCAGCACATCCAGCTTCCGATCTACAAGAAAGAGGGAAAGACTGAGAAGGAAATAATTCATCAGCTTGCAGTGGCTATCAGGACTCTTATCAACAACTGTGAAGCTCTTGCAAAGTAAGTTCATCTAGTTTTGATATTATTATTTGTTTTAGAAGGCAAGTTTTCTGGGCTTAGTAAGAATAAAGAGATACAAAATTTTGATTGGGATACCTAAAGAGCAGGAGACCGAAGAGTTTGAGTGGGGAATAAAAAAGTGAAACAGATCTTAAAATGAAGTCAGAAGGTTTCTGAAGATGGCAGTGATTTTTTGGCAGTGTTGTTTTCTATAGATGGTTACAGATTGGAAGCCTTATTCACTAATTTATTTAAGTATTTACTTTGATCATTTAAATATGAAGAATATATTTGTGATATGGTCTTGTGTATTTAAGTACTGTGTAACAGAGTTTCAATTATCTGCAGGAATTACAATGGCCCACAGAGGGCAAGTCCTGAGCACAAGGGCTCAAGTCAGCGTAATTACAGCCGAGGTCCCTATTCTCCTGCGTTTGAGTTTGAGGAGGACTCGCACTCTAGATATGTGAGTGACCACAGTAGAAGCAAAATCATTTATGAACGAGACAAGGAAGATTCTGAGGTAAAGCTAATTTAATTCTATTAAACAAACCTATGTATTTTCATGCTATACAAATGCCTCTTGTAAATACATCAGAGAGCTGATGGCTTGTACAGTTCTTTCAGGGCTGTAATTCAGAAAGAAAACTTCTGCAGAGGCATGTTAATGTGAACTTTATACAGTGTTTTGCTATGTAAGACTCATGTCCATATTTGTACAGACAATTCAGATTCACTCTGTTTATGTCTTTATATGTGCATATGTGTCTGTTGTGTGCGCGCGCATGCACAGATTTCTAAACGTACTCATGAATGCGTGTTATGTGCATGCGTAGGAATATGAACAAAAGGTAGAAAGATTCTGTTATTTTGTAATACCCATAAAAGCAATCAAACCGGGCCTGATTCTGGGAAGGATGATAATGATCGTGTTGAGTCTTACGATTATGGTTGCAGGTGCTGCGAAGTGAATTTCGACGTCCACGGGATATTCTCCTGTCCATGGTAGCAGAGTTTCACACAAAGTGCACAGTTCGGTTGAATGAGATCAACAAGAAATCAGGCCAGGATAGCAAGACCATCGAGCTTCTGGACATCAAGTCACATGTGGTACGTACGTGCATTCAAACCTTGTTTCTGATTGAATATCTCTGCTGTGAAATGTCTGCCTTGCATTCATTCATAGGCAGTATTTTCTTGCTGAGGTTAGGCCTCATCTACACTGAAACAACTCCCAGTTGTTAAATTTATCAGTAAATTAAATCCTGGTTCATCTTCTAAACAAGCAACCATCAACCAAAGTCACTGTGTGATTAACACTGCCAGTTGCTTGGCCAAACAGCAGGTTGCACTGAAGTTGAATTGTAACTGAACCAGTGTAAACAGAGCAGTTCTTTTGTGTGTGTCAGGCTAAGGGTAACTACATTTGTGTTGAAGTTGAGTTAAATCTCCATTGATGATTGTTGTTAGTATTCTGTTGAAAATGGTTGGCTGAGAGATAAACCAGGGGCATAATACGTTGGAATGCGTGTCTTCACACTCACTTTCAAGTATTTAAAGGTCACTCGTACCCTGGAAATAATATATTCCTGAATTGTTCTGTCTGTACAGCGCCTAGCTGACATCGCTCACAGTCTTCTAAAAGTTTCTCCATATGACCCAGATACAATGGCATGTCGAGGTCTCCAACATTACATGAGCGATATACTGCCCTCGACTGAGTGGACTAACGAGGCGATGAGGCCGGCATTAATCTCCATCCTTCGAAGACTCGACAAAACTTTCAACAAGATATACAAGAAACCATCTATTAGGGTCTGTGTTTAGTTTTGTAACTGAAAACTGAAATTTAAGTTCGCTTACGCACGTGATAGTCTACTTATTTGTGTACTATCTGTGTGACAGGTATGCGTAAAGTCTCCATGAGTTGCTTGCAATTCCTTGAAATGTATTTAAAAACAAACAATAGAATGATGGTGATAGCAATGCACAAACAACATTTCAGGTTGTCCACAAATTTTGTGTGTATTGTGCCAATCACTGGGTTTGTGTAGGCACCTGATGATTACCTAGTTCCTAGGGGGTGGTTGAAAAATGCAATAAACAGACATCGACAGGCCAATAAGGTGTTTTTTTTTACTTGTGTTAAAACATAAAGAACACATTAAAGTGAATGATAATAACATAATGGGAAATCTTGTGCTATGTGGCTTCACCTAGTATTGTTAGCGTAAGGAGGTTATGGTGAGCTGTACGTATAGCTCAGATATGGGGGAAAGAAAAATTGATACAGAGGTTTTGGTGAGAAGGCATTTAATAAAATGAGTGTTTGGAAGATTGAAATTGACATGTGCTAAAATATCTTAGGTCACTGTTCCAGCAGGTGTTTGTGTTAAATATGCTACTCATTTTGACTTTGTATTATAGCGTCATACAGATTGGGAGGCTGCAGCTGGATTACTGAAGGGCATTTATGAGACTCTTGCCCGTTACCCATACTTAGTTCATATGCAGCACCTCAAAACTCTCATTAACACATGCCAGGTAAGGTTAGAAGTGCATATGTGTGTATCAGTATTATGAGACATGTTTTTGGTTACATCCTATTAAATTTTTTCTTATAGGAGTAAGGGGATTTTGATCTTCACGCTACAGGGCTGCTGGCCAAATTCTGTCCCTCTGTGATAAATAAATGTATTGCAAAACTAAAGTATACTTTTAATCCTGTATAACAGTACTCAACTATGCTATAAGATATATAATACATAGAATGATATAGTGTAAGATTCAACTCAGTATTTTGTGTGTTATCTGCCCTCATTTCAGGCTCTGATAGTTGGAGAGACAACATCTGCTGGCATGGGTGAATGTATGCCTTCAGCCACAGCTGCTCTGATGTGCCAAGTTCCCCCTCCGCACTTCTGTTCAACTGTTGTCCGCCTCATAGCATTGCAGATATTGGCAGTAGGCGTAAGGAGGACCCCTTTTAATTTGCTTCTTAACGCATGTCCTGGATATCAGAAATGTATACAAAATTTTGGTCAGAAAACATGAAGGGAAGAGACAGTGATATTCATTTACTTGTTTTATTAAACTTTTAATTTATTTTGTCTGTACTAATTATATTCTATTTCCCTTCTTTTCTTTATATTATATTCTTTGTTCCCCCCTATCCTCATTCTGCATATAGTATTTTCTGTTCCCTTTTCTCACTGGCTCACTTGCTTTGCCTATCCTCACTCGTGTCCTCCCCCCTCGCCCCGCTCAGCCTTGATTTCGCTGAGGCTGTGCATTGTCCACCCTGCTCCTGTATCAAACCTAATTTTCTTCATATGGCTTGCTCATCACCCTGATGAAGGAGGCTGTAAACTCCTGTGAAATGTCATTATCTGCCTGACTGCATGGCGTAGCGTTGCAGAATACAGCCATCTTTGGCAGTCATCACTGAAAGCCTGAAATCCCAGCATGAAAATTTTTGTTTAACTGAATACGAGTACTTTTACATTTTAATTAAATACCAATTTTTGTGCTGCCCTTGAACTTTTTTTCCCCCGTCAAAATCGTATTGTGATGTCCACCTTTAAGCGTAAAAACTTATTAACAAGCTGCTTTTCTTTCACGCGTTCCAGGAAACGTATTCTTTAGAGCAGGTGTGTGGTGGTAATTCCACGTTCCCAACTCATGAAAAGACGGAGAATATGCTTATGAATCTTCTCATGCCTTTGTGCCTCCGTGTTGGTAGCGGCAGAAAAGGTAAATTCATGACTAAAAATTATTATGAAAGAAGCCATTTTAACATTACCTCTGAAATGGTTAAATTGGTTTGTTGTGATACAATTGAATTGTAGTAATGAAGTAAAAAAAACAACTTATTCTAGTAATAATTTTGTGTATGAAGTATGTTTCTGTTATTGTAGATGTACCTCATATGAGACAGGTAGACATCAGCTTTGCTCTGACTGTTGTACTCCATGCCATGAACCCACCTGCTAGCAAGACAGCTCCTGTTACGGCCCAGAACATCAAGACTGCGTCTGAGATGAGAGCTGGGAGCCTCACTTATAGTGGCAGAGGTGACAACAAGAAGCATCACAAAGTATCCAGTTTACTGTTTAAAGTTTCATTTCTCGGTATGTTTCCACGTAACATAATTTATGAAATACTGAATGTAGGTTTTGTGTTTTTGTATTTATTTGGTCCATTGTGTATAATTAAAGCATTGAATTACTTTGTTGCAGAACATGTTAATGAAATATACACAACTACAGCCTATAAATTATAAAGTATAATTCAGAAAGTAAGACTTGAAGTTTTTACAGTGATGTTAATGTCAATGCTGATGTTGGTTGTTACACCATGTAATTAGTTTAGCCGTGTACCAACATTTCGTTGGAACATCGGCATATGGCCAAAATACTATGTGATGTAGCAACCCAAGATTATATAGCTGAGAAGTCTGTTCAGTGTACTTTACATAATTTATTTATAAAATTTATTATTCACTTTACTCTAATTTATAATGACTACTTTTAGAGTAAGTGAGGTTATTCATAATTTATCAGTTTCATGAACATAAACATATTGAATATTATACATTTGCACTGATTCAGTAAGATTAAATAAATTTGAAGATTTTCACTTTTACTTCCAGATTGTAAATGTTCTTTATTGTGTTTGTTACAGCTCTGAAAATAATGATTATCTGCTTTGAAGGTGAAATGGTTGCCGATTGGCCACGCATAGCACGGACAATCAGAGACCTTGGCAAACGCAATGAAGCTGGTTCCATTTGGTGGAATTTCATAGATTTTGTTGTGTCACAGAGAATACCACTTTTTGTACTGCTGCAGCATTACATCTTGTTTAAGGTCAGAAACTGCAGTTTCCGAAATTTATGTAAAATTATTGATCTCTGTATGAGTTTACTGCCTCCCCCTCTCATAAACATAATTTCATAATTGTTTTGTTATTTTTTTATACGAGTCATTATGGAAGGCGAGTATAGCAGATTATGTCGAGATTCTCTGCTAATACTATATTCAGGCTTAGACTTTCCACTCAGGAAATATATACTATTATTACATATACTACTGGATTTAGTTTTCTGAGGACTTCATTTCACTTTCCATATGCACTCTACATATTAAAACGGATGGAAAATTCTTGTACCTGCTTCTCAAGATCACTACAGCACTACTTATTTCATGTTAAGTTGTAGTTCCTGAACTTCTGATAGTGTTTACTGTAAACTTGGCCACATGGGAATTGCATCGATTGTTTAATTCAAGTCCAACAATTTAACATATTTATTTATTAATTACAAAATGCGTGAATGTGTACCGTTCATAAGCAAAGAATTCTATCCGTTGCTTATAGCTTTGTCAGCCTCCAGTGACGGACCATGAACGCTACCTTCAGTTTCTTATCAGAGAGAAGCTCAAAGGGTTCAACTTGCCCATTGTGAAGTGTAAGGGCATGCTGCTTATGGACCTGGCACACGAGATGAAGGAGCTAAAAGAGGAATTAGAAGATCACAGATATGGTTAGTAGTACCTTTAGTTTATAACTTTATACTGAAACAATATTCACTATGCATTTAACATTCTGTGACCTGAATTTCTGAGTAAATGGAAGGTTAAAAGAAGACTAAGTCATATGTTACTTGCATAATCTTCTCAGTGGGTCAGTGATTGATGTCTTTGCATTAAAATTATATGAACTGTTAGGAGTACATGCAGTAATTGAAAGTTTACTAAACAGTTGTCAGCCAGCCAACACATCTCTATTACAAGGATCATTTGGTTCATATTGTTTACAGAAATGATTGCTGTTTACTCTGAGAATCATATAAAGCATATATATACACACATTGGGTTCTGTCATAATGTTGTTTACTGATTTCTTTAAAATCTGCGTTGTGTCGAAGCAATGCATTTATCAGACCAACCAAATAGATGCACGAATAGTGGATGTTCATGGCACACATTAGTCCCTAATGATACAACCATGAATGCTGATATTTTACGTCATTTTACACCATCAGCAAAGTGTAAAGAATGTAACAACTTCTAGTGGTTTGATGAATGTGGTCAGAGCTCTTTGTTTCGTAGTGAGCAGCTGGAAGGTTAAACATGTGTTGTAACAGT